TATGAGTATAAGCTAAAGTCATTCAATATCATTGTTTATGGTATATTTATATAGCGACTAACAAGGAGGAACTTGAATTTGGATTTGAAATCCATATAATAATCAACCAGCACTTGCTTATCTGAACTAAAGATGTCAAATAATAGATTTTGTAATAGTTTTTCAACCTTCAGGTTGACGTACCTGGAACACAGCTTTCTTTGAAATAYTTAGAAGCAGACTGGGCATCAATATTATCCCCACAGCCTKTACGGAAATCTTTTTCGTGTTCGCTGAGAAAGTATCCAATAGGAAGGATCCAACCGGCTGTCTTCTTATATCCAGTRTGACAGGTCTTTTTTCCTTTGAGTTGTGTTAATTTGATGTCTTTATTTGAYGTCTTWGCAACAGCAACTCCAAAGTAACCCACACCTTCGGCATCTGTAAGTTCGCCCACTATTGGWACAAGGCCATATTCCTTTCCTACAATCCACAATGATTTTATTTGATATCAGGATAAAAMTACACTATGAAGTTAGATAGTTCARTAATTTAATGTAACGTAATATAATAATGAAATGTCTAATCAACATTATCGGCTTCAGAAAATTAAAGCTAATTAAAACCGAAAAGGAMCATGGGAAGGCAAATAATTGGTAGAATTTATCCCAATGTCTTCAATGAGCTTCATTGCCTGCACATGGTTTACGATCACTGCCTTCCACATTCCCTTTACGAGAAAAGGTTAATAATTTATATCTTTATAATCCAAGATTTCCGTGTAGTCAAAATACCTTTCGTCCTTTTTTACAATAGCTTCAGAAGATGTAATTAAAGCGCTCCAAAGKACGTCTATAAGCGGACCTCTCGAGTACTATGAGTATAGGGCGAGTACAATTTGAGAACTCTCAAAACATTACGAGTGACTATTAATTCCAAATTGTACGAGAGGYTGTGCGATTTTTTGTTTATAGACATTCAGTAAAACAAAATTTTATAAGGAGTACAGTTTAACGCTGCAATTATACTCCTCTCGAGTATCATAATGTTGAATGTACTATAATAGTTAGCCTCCTTTAGCAGCCGCCCCTGTGTCGTCACGCAACGCTTCTGGGGACTGTTTTCATTGTACTAAATACTCGTAATTATAGAGATACTTTTTATTACCAGCAGCATAAACCTTTCCAGCATCAAGAGTAATGAAGTCTGCTTGATTATCCCTGATCTTTTTCATACAGTCCTCGTCACTTGTTACTTCCACACAAGAACCCTCCATAACGTCCTGGACGTTTGTAAGGCTGGCCAAAGTTGGGAAGATTTTGACAAATGCTTGACATTTGGTCATCTCCTTCTTATAGGCACACCAACGAAACTTCTTGGCTGGCTCTTAGTAAAATAAATACAACAGCAGGAGAAATTATAAAAAAATATCATAACAAAATAAAACTCTTGAACTAGAGAAAAAAAAAATCAGTTCCTTTGACCCCCCGCCAACTGCCGCTTCTCTATGCAAATTACTTAAGAAAAATTGGGGTGTGAACTGTGCAGTCAACCTTCTAAATACATAATGTTCATTTCTTTATAAAATGTGATGATTTTTTAAGTCATGTATCTTTTCAAACTGTTCAACGATTGAATCTCAAACTAGGTACGTCCTTGTCAATGGCAGTAAGAGATTTTTCACGAAACTTGCTTAAGGTGTTTCGATCGTAATAAATGGCGCTTTGCGCGTATTTTTAAACTCCAACTACGTCACAAATTTCGATTCTATTGCACTAAAATTTTCACAGAAGTAACAGTGATTATCGATAATTCTTGTTGATAAATTAATTTGCCAAAAAAACGAAGCCATTTGGATAAACGATGCCAAAATAAAAACACCTTCATTTTTCTTCAAAATTAAGTTTCTCGAAACTCATCGCAGAGATTGTAATAAAATTTTCAGAATCATTTCTTAATAACATAATTGATGTACTCACTAAGTTTCAATAAAATCTTAACCTAAAATTTGGAGTTGTTCGATTGTACATCATTTTGTTCAAACAACTCGAAATTTTAGTTTAAGATTTTATTGCAACTTCGTCAGTATATCAATTATGTTATTAAGAAATGATTCTGAAAATTTTATTATAATTTCTGCTATGAGTTTCGAGAAAATTAACTTTGAAGAAATATGAAGGTGTTTTAATTTTGCATCGTTTATCCAAGTGGCTTCGCTTTTTTGCAACAATTTATCAACAAGAATTATCGATAATCACTGTGACTTCTGTGAAAGTTTGAGTGCAATTGTATCGAAATTTGCGACGATAGTTGGAGTTTAAAAATACGTGCGAAACGCTATTTATTACGATCGAAACACCTTAATTGATTTCGAACGACTGGTACTGAAAGTGTGTGCAATCAATGGACTATTGGAAACAATATATTTAGTTGGTCTTTTGAAAAGTAAATAGTTTATCAGGATAGCTGTTGTTCGCAGTCTAGAGTGAATCCAGACCAAACTCACTTCAGTTATTAACTGTGAAAATGATAGCTTAGAAAACGAATCCTGCCTGGCACACTTCTCTCGAAATAGAACTTAATAAGCTTTATAACCTTAGTTTGATATTCTTGTTTAATAAATACTGTTGTCCTAAGGGCAAATTGTGTCTTTTATTCATAGTCAAGACCCGGGAATTTGTATTGAATGTCACACTTCGGTTATACAAGAAAAAAAAAATACAAGCTAATTTCAGCAAGCACGGGAATGATCGCGATGTCTTTTACTGATTGTCTTCTATACTCACAGATCTCTTACATTACACGGTGCATAAAATGAATATATTACATGTAGACTAATGATTTATTTGAGATCCAGGGTTTATTGCTTACGATCAAACACATTTTGATTTTTGGCTTCTCCATGTAAAGAGCGTTACTTCCATGTGTGGTACGCCTTTTTTGKATAAAGCGTCGTACYTATACATGTATTTAGTAAATACTATCATATCAATATTTGCAGAACTTACCAACGATACCAACAGTCAATGCTCCAAAAACAACTACAGTAATCCAATTCATATTGAAAGTACAGAACTGCACAAGACGCGTCCTTCCACTAGAACAGCGAAATCTTTAGCAAGTGCGAGACGAATATGAAAGCACGAAATATAAACAACGCCCTGGTTATAATTGACAGTCGCGTAAGAACCAATAGCAACCAAGAATTGACTCAAGGTCAAAGGTTAGCAAGTTATGTTTAGTCGTTTGCGCTACCATCTAGAAATAGAACTAAAAACACGAGAATAGTGCAATTGATCAGAATAAATAAAATGTTTAGTCATTAATTGTATTTGTATTTTTTTATTTATTGTATTCTTACTGGCTAAAATCGTTTCATATTCCTAAAATATCATGTGATTCTGACACGGCAGTCAAGGCATCCAACAACTGCTTGCTTGTTTTTTTTTTTTGGTTTATATCGATAAACCACAAAACTTCCGAACGATATCTACAGTAGTTTGAACATGTTAATCTAATTTCCTTGCTGTGACTTCAAGAAAACTTCATTTTTCTAAAACATTAATTTGCATCAGTCACAGACAGGCATTGTTCCAGGCGGTGTGACTGTTTTCAACATAAATACCACAATCTCTTATTACTGGTGACCGAGGTCAGTCAGTACAGGGAGAAAGCCAGAGCTGAAGTGACCGCGGAAGTCTACCAGTGGTTTTATATATTACACTGTGGATTCATTTGACTTTTGAGGCGCTTCCTATCGACAATACACAATGTCTTTCCTCGTATATTTGACTATGTTCGTTCTAGCGAGTTGTGCTCAACATGGCGAGGGTCACAGTCTTCACAACGCACACAGCAAAGGTGGTATTACACGAAACTTCTATATCGCAGCTGTCGAAAGAGACTGGGATTATGCCCCAAGTGGGTTTAACAATGCAAAMGGCATCAAACTAGACAATGATAGGTTAGTARTGATGAATAATTTTTATCATTGAGAACGTGCTTTTGAGCCATGCATGTTGTTACATTGAGATGGGCTTTGACAGCTTGACATTTATAGATGGTTACTATTCTTTCCGGGTTTTGTTTGTGGTGTTGTTGGCACCTTGCCATTTGACTCTTGGGGGGGAGGGTGGATGATTTGTTCCAARAATTTGTTCTCATTTGTTGACACAGGATATCATTTCTCTCCCTTRATGCTTTKCTGCGRATATTTTCCCCATTTTTGCAACATTTTTTCTTCCTTACAATAGTATAGCATATTTTTTCTGCTTTTCTGAGCTGCCAGAAATGCATTTTTGAAAACACCAACAACACCCTCAACTACCCCCACCCCCTCAAAAGTYAAAAGTCCAGTACATGTCACGATTTTTCTGTGCAATTACAATGTTGTTTTTTTTAGGTTAAAATTGTTGCTGTTCCCTGTACTATAAGAAATTATCATATTAAAATCTAGAAAAGATAGAAAGAGAGAAATTAGAAACTTTGTACACAGACAATTGTTTATGTATAGCTTGTGTAATGGTGCGTACGAAGAACGTGGACACGAGCACGTTACATTGAAATCCCTATCCATCTATTAACTATGATCCCAGTAGGCAAATTACGATCGGTAAATATGAGAGATGCCGTTTCTACCAGTTTTTTCGAATTCATTTTTCTAGAAATCAAGCCTTTTCGAAGAAAATAGTCGTTCAAAATTCTTAAAAAGTACCAGAAGTACTTCTGAAAGTACACAAAGTGTTCAGAGTGCGTACTGGGAAAGAGAGAAAATAATTCCTCTGTGCTTTATATAACYTAKCAGTCTATTGCTGCTTCGAACTRTCAGCTSAAAAAGAAATCATTTGCCCAGATTGACTTAGGCGGAACCCGAAGCACACACTACAAATCCATATGACGCATAGTATATTATGTTTGGAGGAATTAACAAATCTGTTGTCGAAATAGTAATCTGCTTATTATAATTTGGAATGTATAATCCCTTTGACTTTTAATTGGACGAGTATTTCTTTCTTTTATGATTTTCATTTACTATAAACTGATCACTACAAATGATCACAGTTTCATAATCTATAATACAATATTTTCGACCTCGGAGATGCCAGCACTTAAAAGCTTTGATTTCTGTTTCTTTSTGTTGTAGAAATTCAAAAACTGACTWTATTGAAATTATTGTTTCAGTGATGCGTCAGTTTTTACCGTCCGAGGGGATACCACTATTGGTAAAGTCTATAAGAAAGTCATWTATCGCGAGTACACAGACGGTACATTTACCWCAGAAAAAACACATCCAAAGCATCTTGGAATCCTTGGACCTGTGTTGTACGGAGAGGTTGGTGATGTCATCAGAGTTATTTTCAAGAACAAAGCAACAAGGTAGATTTCCAGACATTATTCTGAATGTATACATGTTTTAATTGAAAAGTTAGCAAATAATAAAGTAGAAAACTCACAGTCTGCATTTTTAAACACATTTTCAATAATATCCAAAACGATGAGTCGATAATGAAGTGAAACAACATTGCCACATTAAAGCTTCGTGATTTGACATTCWTTCAATAATCAATTCTTGTTAGCGTCGAGAAGCCTCTCTCGGTGAGCTTGGGTATTGTCCACAAAACATGAACGAGTCGCTTGGGCCAAGAAGTTAAAAAAAAMMCGTAAAATCAAAAACCCGTGACTTGACACAGGAAGCCCATGGRATGCTTCTCACTTTTATGTGATTGTTTTGCGATAGACGGTATTCCGTTCATCCACATGGCACATTCTACAAGAAAAACGCTGAAGGAGCGTTATATGAAGATGAAACAAGTCAAGAGGATAAACATGACGATCATGTACCACCAGGAGAAACCTACACGTATACATGGGAAGTTAAACCCAATCACGGACCAACCAAGGCAGACTCTAACTGCTTGACATGGATCTACCATTCTCACCTCGAACCGGGCAAAGACATCAATACCGGTCTTATAGGTAGGTTAATGATTGCTGAAATATCAAATGTAACAGTAAATATCATTGTTACTTTCACGGTATTACTGTATGGCTTTATGTTCTTAGGGCCTCTGATAACCTGCAAAAAAGACACGTTCGACTCGAACGGAAAACGAAAAGATGTAGACCAAGATTTCTTCCTTCTTTTCTCTGTTTTTGACGAGAACGCCAGCTGGCTATTGGATGAAAACATTGATAGGTTTGYACTCCTTTTCGTCTACTACGTTTATTACACTAGGTGAATGGAAGGTCATGGTGCTGGTTGTTGGTAATAATYCTTGTCTTTCAGGTTTTGTAGTAACCCAACTAAGGCTAAAAATTCCAAAGAAAAAGAAGACTTTCAGGAGGCTAATAAAATGCATACTATCAATGGAATGTTCTACGCTAATCTTCCAGACTTAAAACTTTGTGTTCACAAAACCATCAGCTGGCATTTGTTTGGAATAGGAAACGAAGTTGACATTCATACAGGTTAACTGCTATGCTATAGAAAATATCCCATATGCATGGAAAAAATACTTGACTTTCGTGCCGTTAACACGCTTCAATTCCGGCTTTTATGGCGTAAATACCAGGAAAATGAAGTTTTGTCTGTTTCATTTAATAGCGTACTTCCATGGTCAAACAGTTGACATCAATTCCCACAGAAAAGACATTGCTTCTTTGCTTCCTGCAACATTTGTAACAGCGACCATGAGAGCTCATAACCCAGGAACGTGGATGGTAAACTGTGTTGTTGACGATCATTATAACGCTGGTACGTACATATGACTTTATTTGTTGTATAAAAATAAGATGTTTGAGTAAATGTGGATGAATGAATGAAAACAATTGGTCGAGTGCGTAATCAGTTTTGCCTGTTCACGAGATTTGTAAAATGGGTGGGGCAACTGAGGTGGTAACTAACCCAATATTGGCCGAAAAATGGGGTATAGGGAGAAAAATGGGGTATAGGGAGAAGTCCGTATGCTAGTGCAAATGAGAGGGATAACTAAAAACGACTGAGTAAATCATGTCAACTATTTATCAAAGATTGTAGCCTGAGTAACGGTTATTCCATGTTTGTTTGTCTGTTTTCCTATTATATAGGGTTGTAAGCGAGTATGCGATTATAATTCGTGTTTATTCTATGTTTGTTTTCACTAGGGATGTATGCGTTATTCAACGTGTCCTCGTGTTCGAGACAAGCTTCACCTCAGGTTCGTTCTGGTAAGACAAGGACTTACTACATCACAGCTGAGGAGGTGATCTGGGACTACGGACCAAGTGGAATGAACAAATATAAAGGTGGAGAACTAAACGCTAGTGGAAGGTAAGAGAAAGCCAGGTAAGAGAAAACAAGTAAAGCGATCTAAAGTCTTCGCATCACAGCAGACAATTAATCACTTTGCCAATCAATTAATCAAATAATCCATCAATACGAAGACAATTARTTTTAAAATACACAACAAATCAAGTCCAATCCACGAATGAATCCATAAATCAACCATAAATCATAAACCTGAAAATAAAAACCGCATCAACACCCAACAAAAACACCCAACAAAAAACAACACCCAAACAAAAACAACCAACAAAAAACAAAGTAAAAAACGTCACGTGATATCTATTTCTTACCCACTACCCCTACGGAATTTTTGTTATTGTTAATCCTTGTTTGATTTTCTTCCTAGTGATTCGGCTGTTTTCTTTGATCGAGGTGCTCATCGTATCGGTGGACGGTACAAGAAAGCATTGTATTTCGAGTACACCGATTCCTCTTTCACTGTGAAGAAAAACTCTTCAATCCATCTTGGATTTTTGGGGCCAGTTATCCGAGCTGAAGTTGGAGATACAGTCCGAGTTGTTTTTAAAAATCTGGTCAGTATAGAGTGAAAATATGTATTTTACTACTACTTTATTGTACTAAAGTGAACTTCCTCGCGATCTCTTTTTCCGGTTCCGAAGGTGGAAGTTCACTGTCAATTTCTATACGGAAGATATCAATATTGTGGTCCGAAGAACTATGACGGCAATGGAAACCCTCTGTCTCACTTTATATTTTCTGGAGTTTAATCTAATCAATCTAGTAATCATGAAATAAGAATTTTCATATTGCGCACAGATGCATTCTAATTCTTAAAGCGTTGCAGACCATGTACCGAGGATTGGTTATCTCAAAAAATGTCATAGCAACAAATATTTATTCCCTTTTATTGATTGCAGGCGTCGCGTAGTTACAGTATTAACGCACACGGAGTTTTTTTCAACAAGTCTAACGAAGGATCATTGTATAACGACTTCACATCAGCAAAACAGGATGACATTGTAAAACCTAACACAACTTATGTATACACATGGACGGTGCCTGAAGATTCTGGACCAGCAAAGGAAGATACTCAGTGTGTCACATGGGC